ATACTACATTTATCCATTTTAAATACACTAACCTCACTCCTTTGTAACAACTAAGGCAAAAATGTAATTAATTTAGAAAATCTTTTCAGGACCCCGCTTTGGGTCCCGACCCCAACTTTGGGAACCACTGTTTTAAAGAGTTCTCTTCAATGAGGAAAAGTTGAATAGATGAAAAAATATAAGATACTGAAATACCAAAACACTAAAGTCCACAGCACTCATGGCATTTCTGAGCTGAACATTTCGATTTGTTGAAATAAAAATTACAAAGTAGGTTAGATGTCGACAAACATACAGAAGTAAAATGGATGAAATCTCAACTGTGAATACTTTAAAGCCTTCAGTATAAAACACGGGACGTGACGGTGGAATCTGATCCACACAGAGACAAATAACAGAACATGTTACAGGTGAGTCAGACAAGGTGTCCGTCACTAAACAAGCTGCAGTGGTTTTTTATTATCCACCTAATATTTTCATTCTTCTGTCCTCCCAACTGTTTGGTCCTTTCCTCTCTGTCCATCATCCCTCCATCCCCAGCCTCCTGCAGGGCAGCGGTGATGAAGACTCCTCCTCCTCCTCAGGTGTGTGAACAGGTGTGCTGTTCAGAGGCAACATCTTGATCTCAGAGTATAAATTTCCATCAGTGGTCACCACAGGATGAGCGACCTGCTCTGCGTCGCTGCTGTTGCCCCGCCCTGTTTTGATGACCTCATACACGCTGTTCACGTCTGTGAAAACACAAACGATTTATTGATTCTGATCAGTGGTGGAGAAAGTACTCAAACACTGTACTTAAGTAAAAGTACAGATAAACAGACAAGAATGTACTCTAGTAAAAGTAAAAGCACCACATTAACATTTTACTTGAGTAAAAGTAAGAAAGCACTTGCTTTTAAAAATACTCAAAGTATTAAAAGTAAAAGTACTTGCTTAACGTATTCCCTCATGGTCTATAATATCATGAAGTGTGCGTACTGTATTTATATTTTAATACATCAATGGTGCCATTTTAGTGAACAAAGCTGCAGATAATGCACAGTTTTGTGTTTACACTCTGTGACACTGTTCACACTTGGACTTGTGATTCTGTGCATCATCACATATTATGACAACAT